AGGGTGACCTTCCATAGCCCAATTCCATTGGCATGCCCATGGTATGGTGCTGGTGAAGCTCATCACTACAAGTGCCTACGGAAGCCCGCTAAAGAGCTGTAAAGACATGCAAATGAGGCCGCTCTGCCTTCTCCCATAATCCCCTGCAGTAGGCCGTCCTTTGGCTTGTCTGTATTTGCATAACCCGAACGTATCTCGGGTAACATGTACTGGCATTTTTGTCTAGGTAAACCTTTTCTGGTGGTATTTGGATCTGAAGTATCCTTTTCCTTTGATTGGGTTCCGCACCTTATTTGGCTCTGTTTGTGAATGATATGAAATCAGGAGTCACCGTGAGCTGAGCAGCATCTGTGTGCCGCCGGCAACCTCGTTTAGGGCTGGGGTTCTTTATACTCTGGTTTTCTCTTCAGATCGTATAAATCTTTCGCCTTTTACTAAAGATTTCCGTGGAGAGGAACAACCATGAGTTTCAGAGAATTTTTTGATGCCTAGCTGATGCTGGGCTTGCTCACTTGTTGAAAAAAATAGATTGAGTTGCTCTGTTTTTGGAAGATGCTGCAGAGAAGAGCTGAGCGGTGTCAGCGGCAGGAATACCGGACCGGCCGCTGTATATTTGCTCCATAAGATGCACTGACGGGGAGTGCATCTTATGGAGAGAAATATTCGGTAATTGTATGTGCATTCAAAAAATGTCGATATTATTTTTAAAGACATGCAGTATATTTGAAAATGTATTTGTAAAAATATTTCAGATATTTTGTAATAAAAGCACATTTCAGCCTACAGTATATATATATGTATACTGAATACAGAGACAATTGTAGCAATTCAAATGTATGTCAATGTATTCGGTATGAATATTTTTAAAATATGTTTCAAATATATATTTCTTCCATGGATGTTCCTGCTTGTTCAGAGACATTGTGATCGTTCCGAATTAATGTTACATTTGTTGTAAAAATCTTGTGTGCAAAAACCACCATTTCTCCTATTGTGATACAATGTATATAAAAATCAAATAATTGCTGCACTTTTTAGTATTCGATTACATTTTTTTGTAGTTGAAGAATTTTTGATAATGAAATGAATGAGTGTGATTAAGTTTTAAAATCTTTTTTTTTTTCTTCTTACTGGCAGTATTATTGTTTTTTTTTTTTGTTTTTGTTTTTGTTTTCTCTGTGGTCTTTAGTTGATAAATTTTCATTTTCTTTTTTTTTTCTGATTGTGAGGACATCGTATATGGAGATAATTTTTTTTATTTTTATAAAAAAATAATTATAAACCATGTAAAGGTTAAAAAAAGTATAAACTATATAAAATAGTTTTTTTTGTTAACTGTTAACCATAACACTTCAGGTGGATAAATGTTCACAATTTCTTCTGATGATGTTAATTACAGCTTCTTCAATAAATTTAGAATGTTTTGAAAGTACGTTTTGTAAATTCTTTTTCATCCTGCGTATTATATTTTGTATACAATCTTCATTTTTACCAATAAATGTTGACGACGAGGTGTATCCATGATGTCGGACACCAGAGTGTTTCTACTTTTCTTGCATTTCTCGATAATATAATAAGTATAAATATAATATAAAATAAATATAATGTAAAATAAATGAATATAATATAAATATAGAATAAAATAGTATATAATATAAAATATTATAAGTATAAAATAAATGAGTATAATAAAAAATAATATAATATAAAATATTAGAAATATAAAATATAATATAAAATAATGTAAATTAATATAATATAAATATAAAAAAAATTTATATAATATAACATAAAATAATAAAAAATAAATTTATATAAATATAGTATAAAATGTAATAATATATGATTTTATATTGTTTATATATAAGTTTGTTTTATATTATATTTTACATTTTAAATTTTTTTATATTTATAATATGTATGTAAAGCTTCATATAGTGTGGGTACCCAATGCTGACTACCTAGGTCAGGGGGCTCAAAACACCAAAAAGTGCTTAGGGGTGTGCCTTAATTCTTCCCATGTAGTGGCAGGACATCTACCCTGATTCCCTCCTCCCCCCAAGGCGCCTCACAGGTACTGAGGTTTCCACATGGTCCACTTAGGCAGACCTAGACCTGGCGGACCCCTTTCCTTGTGGCTGCCCGAAGCCAACCACCAAGTACTAGGTCAGGGGGCTCTCTGGGGGAGGCTGAGCCAAGGAGTATGCAAATTAGAGTGGTCCTTTGTGATTGGATCTGAGCACTGCAACTTAGTATGCAAATTAGGGTGACCATGGTCCTTTGCAATTCCTTTGGCTAAGATCAAGTGTAGTATCTGTTCTCAGTGTCCAGTAGGAGGCGCTCCACCATCATTCTTGCTTCTTGGCAAACTTCGTGATGGCTGAGCCATGAAGAAAGGAGTATGTAAATTAGGGTGCAATTGGACAGAACACTCTTAGTATTCAAATTAGTGTGACCTTTGCACCATGGTCTCCTCCGCACCTCTGCGGACTTAAAAATAAAATAAAAAAATGATGAGCCCTCCCACCAGCCATGATCTGCCTGCATTGAATAGATAATCTTAGAGACCCAGTGATGGCATCACTCATTCTAAAATAAGATAAGATATTACGATGACGGAAAGGTTCAAAAAAAAAAAAAAAAAATAATAAAATGTTGATGAGGAAACATGGGAGGCAAAATATAAGCAGATTAAACTGTAACATCACATCTTATAGTGACCATCGCAGCTCTCTGACTTTCTCTGACTTTTCTCTTCCTCTCTCCTGTTGATAGTAATTTGATTGGTGATGTCTGTATCCTGGAAGATATGATGTGTCACCTGCCGCTCATCGAGATCCGCATAACAGAGTGTTTCGGTGAGTAGATGCAACAAATCCGTTCCATCGCAAAGCTTCCAAAGTAACACAAAGGGGCCTTATTTATTTCCTATGATCATCAGCTCCATCCAGTGGCCATAATGTGGTATTTTCATGATTGAGTTATTCCAGGAAAAACATCTCATTATGTCCACTAGATGGAGCTGATGATCGTAGGAAATACACATAGTAGGGTTGAAGATCAGGTACTGATGCTGGATGAGAAGACCTGGCTCACCATCATCGGTCCACTTCATCGGTCCACTTCATCCCAAAGATGTTCAGTAGGGTCGAGGTCAGGACAATCGACTTCCTCCACACCAAACTGGACCACCCATGTCTTTATGGAGCTGGCTCTACTCTACCCCCCCCCCCCCCCCGCCCTCCTTTTGTGGCTATAACATCCTCCAGTCTTCTGGGAAGTGCCCATTTCTAATGGGATGAGAAGACCTGGCTCACCACTGGTGTTCCAATTCATCCCAAAGATGTTCAGTAGGGTAAGGACTCTGTACAGGACAATCGAGTTCCTCCACACCAAACTGGACCACCCGTGTCTTTATGGAGCTGGCTCTACTCTACCTCCCCCCCAGCCCTCCTTATGTGGCTATAACATCCTCCAGTCTTCTGGCAAGTGCCCATTTCTAATGGGATGAGAAGACCTGGCTCACCTCTGGTGTTCCAATTCATCCCAAAGATGTTCAGTAGGGTGGAGGTCAGGACTCTATACAGGACACTCGAGTTCCTCCACACCAAACTGGTCAAACCATGTCCCTATTGAGCTTGCGCTACTCTTATGGAAAGGCTTCCCACAAAATTTTAAAGTATTTCTGTGTGAATTTGTGTCCAATGAGCCAATGGAACATTTGTGAGGTCAGGTATTGAGGTTGGGTGAGAAGACCTGGCTAACCATTGGCTTTCCAATTTATCCCAAAGGTTTTCAATAGGGAATTTGTGCTTATTTCTGAGGTCAAGTATTAGTGTTGGATGAGAAGAAGACCTGGTTCCCCACTGGTGTTCTAATTCATCCCAAAGGTGTTCAGTGGGGTCGAGGTCAGGGGTCTTTGCAGAACACTCAAGTTCTTCCACACAAACTGGTCCAGCCATGTCTTTATTGAGCTGGCTCTACTCTTATGGAAAGGTTAACCCCAAATGTTTTAGTATTTCTGTGTGAATTTGTGTCCAATCAGCCAATGGAACATTGGGGTCAGGTACTGAGGTTGGGTAAGAAGACCTGGCTAACCATTGGCTTTACAAATTATCCCAAAGGTGTTCAATAGGGTTGAGATCAAGGTACTCCAGTTTCTGCACCCATCATGACCTTCTATATGACCTTGTAGGTCATCCCATTCCAAAACCATGGTTTTTAATATGGTTATAATCTCCTCCACTCTTCTGAGAAGACTTTCCACAAGATTTTGGATGGTGTCTGTGGGAATTTCTGTCCATGAGAACACCTGGCTCACAACTAGCATTCCATTTCATTACAAAGGTGTTTAGTAGGGTTGAGGTCAGGTACTGATGTTAGATGAGACCTGGCTTACATTTTGGACCCCCCAAAAAAAAACAGGACCTGGCTTACCATTGGCATTCCAATTCATCCCAAAGGTGTTCAGTAGGGTTGAGGTCAGGGTTGAGGTCAGGGGTCTGTGCAGGACACTGGAGTTCCTTCACACCAAACTGGTCATCCATGTCTTTATGGAGCTGGCTTTGTACACAGGGAACAGTCATGGGGGGACAGAAATGGGCCTTCACAAAACTGTTACCACAAGGTTGAAAGATCACAAACTTTGTAAATTGTAGTATTAACAGGACCCTTCAATGGACCGCTGACCTGAACTCCATAATTTGGAAGGGTATCCACGTTTTTGACCATATAATGTATGTTGACATGTCTTACATCATGGCAGTATAATATACAGGATCCAGTCATCCCTAACAACCAATCAGCACTCATATTTTGCTGTTCTCGTCTATTGCACTCCAATGACCTGTTCTTATGGATCTTCCTGCAGATGAAGGGATTGATGTCCGATTACGAGGAATAAAGATCAAGTCCTCCAAGGAAAGGGACTTGGGCCTCAGGGCTGATATGTTCCTTCCCCCTAACCTGGTACGATACCCGCGACTGGAGGCCATTGACCCCGACGTCCTGTACAGGAGAGCCATAATCCTCCAGAGGTCAGATTTGCAACAAATGTTCTTCCTGTACCCCAATTGGATGGTTCATGTCTGAAAGATACTGGAGCAAGTTCAGGAGACATTTTTTGTTTTAGCTTTGAAATGAATGGAATTAGAACATTTATTGAGTATTACTACTACCACAGTTTCCATTAACCCCTTCCCGTCCAGCAGAAATACTGCTACAGGGCGTCACGGGTGCGCAGAAGCGGCCACGGCTGTCAATCACCGGGTCCCAGTGATCACTGAGTTTTACCAATGGGGGAGACAATACAGATCTCGAATACGAGGAATAAAGATCAAGTCCTCCAAGGAAGAGGGACTTGGGCCTCAGGGTTGACATGTTTGTTCCCCCTAACCTGGTACATTGCTTTGTATGGCTCTGCAGCTTTGGACAGCCATTGGTTGTGGGGCCAAAAGGAGAGTTCAGAGTCCAGGATCACCCTGGCATGCGGGGACGGGTTGATGGTCGAGCCGTTGATTTTGACAGAGGGGGAAGAGTCACCTGGGGGAGGAAATATTATGAGCTGTTATGAGAGGGGATAGATTGATTCTCAGGAAGTGGTGTGCCATCCAGGCTGATATGTCTGTTAGATTGGTGATGGTGAGGAGACTGATGGAGTGAGCTGAGGAGTAGACACACAGATTTGGGTGCAGGGGCAGACTGACCATTTGGAAACTCTGGCACTGCCCGATGGCCCGGGGTCAGTAGGGGGCCCCATGAGATGCCCCTGGTACCTTTTTCATAGGCTTTTTTGAGTTTGGGTAAGGACACAGGGGTCCCATGATCCCCTATTGTCCGGAGGCCCCATGAGTTGTCAGTCCGCCCCTGTTTGGGTGTCATCTGCATAGAAATGGTATTGAAAACCATGGGAGGCAATCAATGGACCCAGAGAGGAGGTGTAGATTGAGAATAGGAGGAGGTCCCAGAACAGAACCTTGGGGAACCCCAACAGATAAAGGAAGAGAACAGGTCCCAGAGCAGAACCTTAGAGAACCCTAACAGAAAAAGCAAGAGAACAGGTCCCAGAACAGAACCTTGCGGAACCCCAACAGAAAAAATGAAGAGAACAGGTCCCAGAACAGAACCTTGGGGAACCCCAACAGAAAAAGGAAGAGAACAGGTCCCAGAACAGAACCTTGGGGAACCCCAACAGAGAAAGGAAGAGAACAGGTCCCAGAACAGAACCTTGGGGAACCCCAACAGAGAGAGGAAGAGGAAGTAGAATTGTAAGTGACACTGAAGGTGCAATGGGATAGGTAGGATGAGAACCAACGAAGGGCGCAGTCATGGAGACCAAAGGAGTAGAGTTTTTTGAGGAGGAGGAGGGAGTGGTTCACTGTGTCAAAGGCATGAGTGGTCTTCAGGACTCGGACAATGGGGATTCCACTTACATGTAGTTCACCTGGTCTATTCTCATGTATCACTTGCTGGTCCTGACTGACTGCTTCATGTTGGATATTAGAATTGTATGTTTTAAACAATTTTGTACACAATTAAATATATTTTTGTAATTTAAATTGTAGTGTAAGGTGTCTAAAAAAAGTCCATGCAAGTCCCTAATTAGTTAGGTTCCAATTGGTCAGTTATTTAGGACTTGGCACAGCCCTATCAAGAACCCCACCCGTAGCTGCCACCCTATGTGTGTTTTTTGGTGTGTTCTCCAATATAGTCACTTTTCGACACCCATGAGCGTTGGCCCAACCCTGTAGGACTGTATAATATGATGATGTCTAGAATGATCCAGTGACCAGCCAATCTCCTCCTGTCCTCTTCCCCAGGTTTGTCAGGCTTCTAGACAACGTCATCCATCACCTCGTCCCCACCTGGGACCACAGCATCGGCACTTTCAGCCAGCTTAAGGTGAGGGTTTATTGCCGTCCGCTTCCCAGAACGAATGTTAGGCCTTTCTCGTATAGATTCACCCCACTAAGCACCCCGTGTACTCTGCAGCACATCAAGCAGTTCCTGTTGATGTCGAAACGCCGCTCTGCGCTCATCACTCAGTGCTTGAAGGACTCGGAGACCACCAAACCCAACATCATGCCTCGTTTGTACATCAACCGCCGGCTGGCCGTGGAGCACCGTGATAGCCCTGCGTTAGACCCCACCTACAAGAAGACCGTGTTCAGCCAGGTATGGGGGTTCTGATTGATGGATCTGCAGATAGTGAAGGGGTAATGTATAAGGAGGGCGGGGGGGGGGGGGGACTATTACCACAAGGCCTGGAGGGCAGAGGGGGCCCGGGTGGGATCCTGAAAAGGACTTGTTAGGATAAAACTTGGATTCTGATTCATTCACTTCCCTCCACCCTCTTCCCAACTGCTGGCTTTGAAAAGTGAGGACTGTTTTCTATGTATCACCCACCAAAACCAAAGAATTCCAGGAATGGATATATTATACAGTTACATTGTTTCAGCTTGGACCAATATACAGTAACTATATACTGTATATACCCTACCTGTGAGATCACTCTAGAACAGCCTTCCTCAATGATATCACCCAAGAACAACCCCTGAAATAAATTTGAGATTTCAAGGAAATCTTTCTAAAACCAATTCATTGTGTCCCTCACATTGGTGGTCAGTGGGAAGAATGTCCCTCACATTGGTGGTCAGTGGGAAGAATGTCCCTTACATTGGTGGTCAGTGGGAAGAATGTCCCTTACATTGGTGGTCAGTGGGAAGAATGTCCCTTACATTGGTGGTCAGTGGGAAGAATGTCCCTTACATTGGGGGTCAGTGGGAAGAATGTCCCTTACATTGGGGGTCAGTGGGAAGAATGTCCCTTACATTGGGGGTCAGTGGGAAGAATGTCCCTTACATTGGGGGTCAGTGGGAAGAATGTCCCTTACATTGGTGGTCAGTGGGAAGAATGTCCCTTACATTGGTGGTCAGTGGGAAGAATGTCCCTTACATTGGGGGTCAGTGGGAAGAATGTCCCTTACATTGGGGGTCAGTGGGAAGAATGTCCCTTACATTGGGGGGTCAGTGGGAAGAATGTCCCTTACATTGGGGGGTCAGTGGGAAGAATGTCCCTTACATTGGGGGGTCAGTGGGAAGAATGTCCCTTACATTGGAGGTCAGTGGGAAGAATGTTCCTTACATTGGGGGTCAGTGGGAAGAATGTTCCTTACATTGGGGATCAGTTAGAAGAATGTCCCTTACATTGGGGGGTCAGTGGGAGGAATGTCCCTTACATTGGGGGGTCAGTGGGAAGAATGTCCCTTACATTGGGGGGTCAGTGGGAAGAATGTCCCTTACATTGGGGGTCAGTGGGAAGAATGTCCCTTACATCGGGGGTCAGTGGGAAGAATGTCCCTTACATTGGGGGGGGTCAGTGGGAAGAATGTCCCTTACATTGGTGGTCAGTGGGAAGAATGTCCCTTACATTGGTGGTCAGTGGGAAGAATGTCCCTTACATTGGTGGTCAGTGGGAAGAATGTCCCTTACATTGGTGGTCAGTGGGAAGAATGTCCCCTTACATTGGGGGTCAGTGGGAAGAATGTCCCTTACATTGGGGGTCAGTGGGGGAAGAATGTCCCTTACATTGGGGGTCAGTGGGAAGAATGTCCCTTACATTGGGGGTCAGTGGGAAGAATGTCCCTTACATTGGTGGTCAGTGGGAAGAATGTCCCTTACATTGGTGGTCAGTGGGAAGAATGTCCCTTACATTGGGGGTCAGTGGGAAGAATGTCCCTTACATTGGGGGTCAGTGGGAAGAGTGTCCCTTACATTGGGGGTCAGTGGGAAGAGTGTTGTCACGGGCACTATGTGGCACCATCAGATGGGAGGTCAATCAGTCACAACCCTGGCAGCCTCCTGAGGAACCCTGGCTGAGAAGCTGGAAATCGCTGTATAGACACCACTACTCCAGTGATCTCTCCTTGCTCCCGGGCCCCTGGTTCTGGGTTCCAGGTTCCGGGGGTCCCGGGCCGAGCAGCTGATTTTCTGCATTCTGAAGACAGGAAGTCAGCCAATCGGCTCGGGCAACATTCAGCGTTCGCTTTACATTTTCTCAATGGATGCAAAGTATCCTCTAGTTGGACGAAGTGGTGTGGCAAGAGGGGTGACGTCCGCCTCGTCCAATCAGAGAACGCTTTGTATTTGTTTCTCTGCGTTCATGTTTAATCCTTCCTTGTGCTGACATCCAAAAGCCCCGACAACGCTGCTGGGTCCGCCATCTTGGATGTGGTGACAACCTGTAGTATTCCCTGCTACCTAATAATTTATGAAAGGGAGGGGCAGAGGAGCTGGGCCAGCTTCCAAGGGAGAGGGCTATGACGTGCGGAGGGAGGGGGGGGGGGTCAGTGCCAGGGAATTGAATAGTCTAATTTTCTGGTTCGATATCACATTGCAGGTGAGTGAAAAAAATCATTTTCAGGAAAAAAACGGCAAGTAAGTAGAGTGGTGACAGGATCTCTTTAAATAATTAATACGAGCCTTTGTATTGGACAGTGCAGGGGTGCGCAGAGATCAGAGGGGGTGCGCAGAGATCAGAGGGGTGCGCAGAGATCAGAGGGGTGCGCAGAGATCAGAGGGGTGCGCAGAGATCATCAGAGGGGTGCACAGAGATCATCAGAGGGGTTCACAGGGAACATCAGAGGGGTGCGCAGAGATCATCAGAGGGGTGCGCAGAGATCATCAGAGGGGTGCGCAGAGATCATCAGAGGGGTGCGCAGGGATCATCAGAGGGGTGCGCAGGGATCATCAGAGGGGTGCGCAGGGATCATCAGAGGGGTGCGCGGAGATCATCAGAGGGGTGCGCGGAGATCATCAGAGGGGTGCGCGGAGATCATCAGAGGGGTGCGCAGAGGTGCATTTTGGGCAGAAAATATATTCTGCCAGAAAATTTTTTTGGGGGGAAAAGGGGTCTTTTTTTTTTCAGCTGAACTGAATAAATAAAAATAAATAGATAAATAATTCCCAATAATCGCAATCCTACATTTTTATAAAAAAACGAGTAAAATGTAATTTTTAAAGTACAACCTGCAGTGTGATCTCCTGAATGTTTGTTACATTGTTTCAGCAGTTTGTAATCCCCCTACAGCAGACAGAGAGGGGGAGGGGCAAGACTTGGGGCCAATCAGGCATCCTGCATGCAAATGTGCTGACAGGCAGACCCAATCAGTCTGTTGCTGGCCCTTCACTGTCCTATCACAGGGCGGGAGGAGGGGAGGTGACCTGGCTGTGTTGCGTATCTGCAGCAGAGAACCGTCTGGTCTCTAGATTGGCTGCGCTGTACGGCAGAGCTGTGAAAATGTCAGAACTGGACGGACAGAAACGAAAAAAATCGAGTAGAACCCCGATATATATATTTCCGTGGTGAACCCCGATATATATATATTTCCATGGTGAACCCCGATATGTGTATTTCCGTGGTGAACCCCGATATGTGTATTTCCGTGGTGAACCCCGATATGTGTATTTCCGTGGTGAACCCCGATATGTGTATTTCCGTGGTGAACCCCGATATGTGTATTTCCGTGGTGAACCCCGATATATGTATTTCCGTGGTGAACCCCGATATGTGTATTTCCGTGGTGAACCCCGATATGTGTATTTCCGTGGTGAACCCCGATATGTGTATTTCCGTGGTGAACCCCGATATGTGTATTTCCGTGGTGAACCCCGATATGTGTATTTCCGTGGTGAACCCCCGATATGTGTATTTCCGTGGTGAACCCCGATATATGTATTTCCGTGGTGAATGTTGGTGTTTGCCTGGAGTTCATCTTTCTGAAATGTAAATCCTTTGTTTCCTTCTGTTCTCTGTGTCTGATGACGTCAGGTGTACGAGGGTCTGAAGCCCACCGATAAGTCGGAGAAGCCCCTGGACTACAGGTCAGTGTGGGATTGTATCCGGGAAACACCGATCTGCCCAACTAACCAATCATTCCCATCCGGGGACCTAGAGATGTAAAAATCCGACCCTCCTTACATATGGATACAAGAAACATGGCTGAGGGCCACGAAATGCTGTCTGGGGGCGCCCCTACCCTACAGGTACATTATATATCTGGGGGCGCCCCTACCCTACAGGTACATTATATATCTAGGGGCGCCCCTACCCTACAGGTACATTATTTATCTGGGGGCGCCCCTACCCTACAGGTACATTATATATCTGGGGGCGCCCCTACCCTACAGGTACATTATATATCTAGGGGCGCCCCTACCCTACAGGTACATTATATATCTGGGGGCGCCCCTACCCTACAGGCACATTTTATATCTGGGGGCGCCCCTACCCTACAGGCACATTATATATCTGGGGGCGCCCCTACCCTACAGGTACATTATATATCTGGGGGCGCCCCTACCCTACAGGTACATTATATATCTGGGGGCGCCCCTACCCTACAGGTACATTATATATCTGGGGGCGCCCCTACCCTTCAGGTACATTATATATCTGGGGGCGCCCCTACCCTACAGGTACATTATATATCTGGGGGCGCCCCTACCCTACAGGCACATTATATATCTGGGGGCGCCCCTACCCTTCAGGTACATTATATATCTGGGGGCGCCCCTACCCTACAGGCACATTATATATCTGGGGGCGCCCCTACCCTACAGGCACATTATATATCTGGGGGCGCCCCTACCCTACAGGCACATTTATATATCTGGGGGCGCCCCTACCCTACAGGCACATTATATATCTGGGGGCGCCCCTACCCTACAGGCACATTATATATCTGGGGGCGCCCCTACCCTACAGGCACATTATATATCTGGGGGCGCCCCTACCCTTCAGGCACATTATATATCTGGGGGTGCCCCTACCCTACAGCTACATTATATATCTGGGGGCGCCCCTACCCTACAGGCACATTATATATCTGGGGGCGCCCCTACCCTACAGGCACATTATATATCTGGGGGCGCCCCTACCCTACAGGCACATTATATATCTGGGGGCGCCCCTACCCTACAGGCACATTATATATCTGGATGTCGCTGTGCTCTGCACACTCACCTCTGTATAGATGGGCACTGTGGTGAAATTGTTGCAATTTAAACGTCTTATATTATAAATAGATGATAAAGTGTGAAATTATTTCTGGACGTCTTCACATTGTCCTCCTCGTCCTGATATTTGAATCGATTTTCTGCTCTGTTACGTGATCTGGCTGCTCATCGCACAAAGCCCCCCGAATTTCCCGTCCCTCCCCCCCGTCTATCCCCCGCCTCCCGAATTTCCCGCCCCTCCCCCGCCTCCCAATACTTGGGCTCTGATCATGGTGTTTTGTGACCTCCAGGTGGCCGGTGCGATATGACCAATGGTGGGAATGCAAGTTCATCGCAGAGGGGATCATCGATCAAGGTAGGTCCTGAGGTCCCGATAAATACAACATTGTGTAGTGTGGACGGGGCCCCCAGAAGCACAAGTCCCAGCAAGCCTCCTGTAGTGCCTGCCTGTCTAATGTTATCAGTCTGATGGGTTCCTGGCGTCACACCTACGGAATGTTATATGGGGCTCTTTGGCGATGACCCCCCCTCCCCCATATCAAGTGTGGGGGCCGCCATCGGCATAGAGAGTGTTAAAGTCCAGAGCGAGGTGGAATGACTCATCTCAGTTGCACAGCTTTTCTATGGGAAGGTTCAGGTAACCTGAATACAGTGCAGGAAATGCGTATTCATCCCCCCCTGATGCTGAATGTTCGCCCCTCACACAGAAACGATCGGTCTAACAATGGAATGTTCGCCCCTCACACAGAGATGATCGGTCTAACAATGGAATGTTCGCCCCTCACACAGAAACGATCGGTCTAACAATGGAATGTTCGCCCCTCACACAGAGATGATCGGTCTAACAATGGAATGTTCGCCCCTCACACAGAGACGATCGGTCTAACAATGGAATGTTCGCCCCTCACACAGAAACGATCGGTCTAACAATGGAATGTTCGCCCCTCACACAGAAATGATCGGTCTAACAATGGAATGTTCGCCCCTCACACAGAAACGATCGGTCTAACAATGGAATGTTCGCCCCTCACACAGAAATGATCGGTCTAACAATGGAATGTTCGCCCCTCACACAGAAATGATCGGTCTAACAATGGAATGTTCGGTGTAACACTGAGAGACAGAATACAACAACAAATTCAGCAGAAATGCGTCTAACAAATGATGACTGATCTGCATGTTCATGAGGGAAAGAAGGATTGGATCCCCTTCACAAAACATGACTTAGTACTTGGTGGCAAAACCCTTGTTGGCAATCACAGAGGTCAGACGTTTCCTGGAGTTGGCCCCCAGGTTCGCACACATCTCAGGAAGGATTTTGGCCCACTCCTCTTGGCAGATCCTCTCCAAGTCATTAAGGTTTGGTGGCTGACATTTGGCAACTCGAACTTTCAGCTCCTCCACAGATTTTCAATCGGATGAAGGTGTGCAGACTGGCTAGGCCACTCCAGGACCTTAATGTGCTTCTTCTTGAGCCGCTCCTTTGTTGCCTTGGCCGTGTGTTTTTGGGTCATTGTGATGCTGGAACACCCATCCACCACCCATTTCCAATGCCCTGGCTGAGGGAAGAAGGTTCTCACCCAAGATTTGAGGGTACATTGCCCCGTCCATCATCCCTTTGATGTCCCCTTAGCAGAACCCCCCCCCCCAGCAGAATGTTTCCACCGCCATGTTTCACAGTTGGGATGGTGTTCTTGGGGTCATAGGCAGCATTCCTCCAAACACGGCGAGTTGAGTTGATGCCAAAGAGCTGGATTTTGGTCTCCTCTGACCACAACACTTCCCACCAGTCCTCCTCCATCATTCAGATGTTCAGTGACAGACTTCAGACGGGCCTGGACATGGGCTTTCTTGAGCAGAGGGACCGTGCGGGCACTGCAGGATTTCAGTCCTTGTCGGCGTAGTGTGTTACCAATTGTTTTCTTGGTGACTGTGGTCCCAGCTGCCTGGAGATCATTGACAAGATCCTCACGTGTAGTTCTGGGATGATTCCTCGCTGTTCTCATGATCATTGACACTCCACGAGGTGAGATCTTGCATGGTGCACCAGACCTAGGGAGACTGACACTTGTTTTGTGTTTCTTCCATTTGTGAATGATTGCACCAACTGTTGTCACCTTCTCACCAAGCTGCTTGGCCATAGTTTGGTAGCCCAGTCCAGCCTTGTGTAGGTCTACCATCTTGTCCCTGACATCCTTGGACAGCTCTTTGGTCTTTGCCATGGTGGAGAGTTTGGAATCTGATGGTTTGATGGCTCCTGTGGACAGGTGTCTTTTATACAGGTAACACAATGAGATTAGCAGCACTCCCTTTAAGAGACTGCTTCTAATCTCAGCTTGTTACCTGTATGAGAGACACCTGGGAGCCAGAAATCCTGCTGAATGATAGGGGATCAAATCCTTCTTTCCCTCATGAACATGCAGATCCGTCATCATTTGTTAGACGCATTTCTGCTGAATTTGTTGTTGTATTCTGTCTCTCAGTGTTACACCGAACATTCCATTGTTAGACCGATCGTTTGTGTGTGAGGGGCGAACATTCCATTGTTAGACCGATCATTTCTGTGTGAGGGGGGAACATTCCATTGTTAGACCGATCGTTTCTGTGTGAGGGGGGAACATTCCATTGTTAGACCGATCGTTTCTGTGTGAGGGGCAAACATTCCATTGTTAGACTGATCATTTCTGTGTGAGGGGCGAACATTCCATTGTTAGACCGATCATTTCTGTGTGAGGGGCCAACATTCCATTGTTAGACCGATCATTTCTGTGTGAGGGGCGAACATTCCAATTGTTAGACCGATCATTTCTGTGTGAGGGGCGAACATTCCACTGTTAGACCGATCATTTCTGTGTGAGGGGCGAACGTTCACCATCGGGGGGAGCAAATACACATTTCCTGCACTGTATATCTCACTTTAGCATTTGTGTCTTTTATTTTTTTTTATTCCAACCTGAAAAACTGCTAATGTTACCCTGAATGACCGTATAAAGTCAAATCTATGTTTGTTTCCCTTTTCTACCATTTCGGTGACTCCAGGTGGAGGATTCCGGGACAGCCTGGCTGATATTTCTGAGGAGCTGTGCCCCAGTTCTGCCGACTCCCCCGTGCCACTGCCTTTCTTTGTGCGCACATCAAACCAGGTACACCAAGGACATATACCGCAGCGCTGTACAGAGATCACTGAGCCAGAGGAGCTTACACTCTAATATCCCCTCCCCCACAGTCCCATCAGTCTCTATACCAGAGGAGCTGACACTGTAATGTCCCCTCCCCCTAATGTCCCCTCCCCCACAGTCCCATCAGTCTCTGTACCAGAGGAGCTTACGCTCTAATGTCCCCTCCCCCGCAGTCCCATCAGTCTCTGTACCAGAGGAGCTTACGCTCTAATGTCCCCTCCCCCGCAGTCCCACCAGTCTCTGTACCAGAGGAGCTTACGCTCTAAGGTCCCCTCCCCCACAGTTCCATCAGTCTCTGTACCAGAGGAGCTTACGCTCTAAGGTCCCCTCCCCCACAGTTCCATCAGTCTCTGTACCAGAGGAGCTTACGCTCTAATGTCCCCTCCCCCACAGTCCCATCAGTCTCTGTACCAGAGGAGCTTACGCTCTAATGTCCCCTCCCCCCACAGTCACATCAGTCTCTGTACCAGAGGAGCTTACACTCTAATGTCCCCTCCCCCACAGTCACATCAGTCTCTGTACCAGAGGAGCTTACACTCTAATGTCCCCTCCCCCACAGTCCCATCAGTCTCTGTACAGAGGAGCTTACGCTCTAATGTCCCCTCCCCCACAGTCACATCAGTCTCTGTACCAGAGGAGCTTACGCTCTAATGTCCCCTCCCCCACAGTCACATCAGTCTCTGTACCAGAGGAGCTTACACTCTAATGTCCCCTCTCCCCCACAGTCCCATCAGTCTCTGTACAGAGGAGCTTACGCTCTAATGTCCCCTCCCCCACAGTCACATCAGTCTCTGTACCAGAGGAGCTGACACTCTAATGCCCCCCCACAAACAATAGGGCAAGTTTCAGTAAAAGCTGATGGAACAATAACTGTTTCTGAGATTTAGGAGGAAACCCGCACACTGGAACTAAGTGCACATAATCACATGGGGCAACATACAAACTCCATGCAGACAGAGCACGGTCAGGATTACAGGCAGATAATGATCCTGTGCCTATGTACCGCCCCCGGAACATGTTCGGATAGAGCTGATTGGTCGTCTTTATTTATTATATTTTGTCCCGTCCTGTGAAGACGCCGATACATTGGGAGGCGCCTGTCCCCGCCTCCGCGGATCACCCATCTGACTCCACCCACATTCTTCTCCTAGGGAAACGGCACCGGAGAAGCTCGGGACATGTATGTGCCAAACCCGTCCTGCAAGGATCTGGCCAAGTACCAATGGATCGGGCAGCTGATGGGCGCGGCTCTGAGAGGGAAGGAGTTCCTGGTAAGTCGCAGATTTCGCTTTTTATTCATCAGGATCTCCGGGGCGGGATGGCCGCGGGGCAGGGTGGAGGCGGGGCGGGATGGGCTCTGGGTGGTATGGGCGTGGGACAAGATGGGAGCGAGATGGGCTCGGGGCGGGATGGGCGAGGGGTGGACACAGGCGGGATGGGCATGGGGCGGGATGGGTGCGATGGGCTCAGGGCAGGATAGGATGGGTGCGATGGGCTTGGGGCGGGATAAGTGGGATGCGCTCGGGGCGGGATGGGCGAGGGTGGGATCAGGGTGGGATGGGCTCGGGGCGGGATGGGCTCAGGCAGGATCGGGGCGGGATGGGCTCAGGCAGGATCGGGGCGGGATGCGCTTGGGGCGGGATCGGGGCGGGATGGGTGCGATGCGCTCGGGGCGGGATTGGGGTGGGATGGGCTTGGGGCGGGATGGGGGCGAGGGGCAGGATGGGATGGGTTCGGGGCGAGATGGGTGCGATGGGCAGGATCTGGGTGCGATGGGCGAGGGGCAGGATCGGGGTGGGATGGGCTCGGGGCGAGATGGGTGCGATGGGCGAGGAGTGGGATGGGTGTGATGCGCTTGGGGTGGGATGGGCGAGGGGCGGGATGGGTGCGATGGGATGGGCGCGGGATGGGATGGGCTCGGGGCGGGATGGGTGCGATGGGCGAGGGGCAGGATCGGGGTGGGATGGGCGAGGGGTGGGATGGGCTCGGGGCGGGATGGGTGCGATGGGCAGGATGAGGGTGGGATGGGCGAGGGGCAGGATTGGGGTGGGATGGGCGAGGAGTGGGATGGGTGCGATGCGCTCGGGGCGGGCGAGGGGCGGGATGGGTGCGATGGGCAGGATCGGGATGGGATGGGCGCGGGATGGGCTCGGGGCGGGATGGGTGCGATGGGCGAGGGGTGGGATGGGCTCGGGGCGAGATGGGTGCGATGGGCGAGGGGCAGGATTGGAGTGGGATGGGCGAGGAGTGGGATGGGTGCGATGCGCTCGGGGCGGGCGAGGGGCGGGATGGGTGCGATGGGCGAGGGGCAGGATCGGGATGGGCGCGGGATGGGATGGGCTCGGGGCGGGATGGGCGAGGGGTGCGATGGGCGAGGGGTGGGATGGGTGCGATGCGCTTGGGGTGGAATGGGCTTGGGGCAGGATCGGAGTGGGATGGGCGAGGGGTGGGATGGGTGCGATGCGCTCGGGGCGGGATTGGGGTGGAATGGGCTTGGGGCGGGATGGGTGCGATGCGCTCGGGGCAGGATCGGGGTGGAATGGGCTTGGGGCGGGATGGGTGCGATGTGCTCAGGGCGGGATTGGGGTGGGATGGGCTTGGGGCGGGATGGGTGCGATGGGCGAGGGGCGGGATCGGAGTGGGATGGGCGAGGGGTGGGATGGGTGCGATGCGCTCGGGGCGGGATGGGCTCGGGGCGGGATGGGCTCTGGGTGGGATGGGTGCGGGGATCGCTGTAGTGGCTCCAACTACTACAACGGCTCTCTGCTCCCAGGTACGGGATATATATACTGACATCCAAGCTGAGCCAATGTAACCAGCCAATAAAAACCAGACCTGGAGCTCCACTTTAACCCCTCCCCCTCCAGAGGATCCCCCCCCCCCCCTTCCTGACCAGGTCATTTTTTGTATTACGGCGTTGAGTTACTTTAACTGACAATTGCGCGGTCATGCAACGCCGCGCACAAATTAAATTTACATCCTTTCTTTCCCATGAATTTAGCTTTCTTTCGGCGGTATTTGATTTTTCTGCGCGGCTTTTATTTTTTGTGCTGTAAAAAAAAAGACAATATTGAGAAAAAAAACAGTATTTTTGACTTTTTGATATTAATCACGTCCAGTAAAAAAAATGTAAAAAATCTAATTTCTTCATAAATTTCGGCCATAATGTCTCCCGCTCCGTGTCTTCCCTGTCACACCCCGCTCCGTGTCTTCCCTGTCACATCCCGCTCCGTGTCTTCGCTGTCACATCCCGCTCCGTGTCTTCGCTGTCACACCCCGCTCCGTGTCTTCGCTGTCACACCCCGCTCCGTGTCTTCGCTGTCACACCCCGCTCCGTGTCTTCGCTGTCACACCCCGCTCCGTGTCTTCGCTGTCACACCCCGCTCCGTGTCTTCGCTGTCACACCCCGCTCCGTGTCTTCGCTGTCGCTGTCACACACCCCCGCTCCGTGTCTTCGCTGTCACACCCCGCTCCGTGTCTTCGCTGTCACACCCCGCTCCGTGTCTTCGCTGTCACACCCCGCTCCGTGTCTTCGCTGTCACACCCCGCTCCGTGTCTTCGCTGTCACACACCCCCGCTCCGTGTCTTCGCTGTCACACCCCGCTCCGTGTCTTCGCTGTCACACCCCGCTCCGTGTCTTCGCTGTCACACCCCGCTCCGTGTCTTCGCTGTGTCACTGTCACACCCGCTCCGTGTCTTCGCTGTCACTCTTCGCTGTCACACCCGCTCCGTGTCTTCGCTGTCACACCCCGCTCCGTGTCTTCGCTGTCACACCCCCCGCTCCGTGTCTTCGCTGTCACATCCCGCTCCGTGTCTTCGCTGTCACACCCCGCTCCGTGTCTTCGCTGTCACATCCCGCTCCGTGTCTTCGCTGTCACATCCCGCTCCGTGTCTTCGCTGTCACATCCCGCTCCGTGTCTTCGCTGTCACATCCCGCTCCGTGCTTCGCTGTCACATCCCGCTCCGTGTCTTCGCTGTCACATCCCTGCTCCCGCTCCGTGTCTTCGCTGTCACATCCCGCTCCGTGTCTTCGCTGTCACATCCCGCTCCGTGTCTTCGCTGTCACATCCCGCTCCGTGTCTTCGCTGTCACATCCCGCTCCGTGTCTTCGCTGTCACATCCCGCTCCGTGTCTTCGCTGTCACATCCGCTGCTCCGTGTCTTCGCTGTCACATCCCGCTCCGTGTCTTCGCTGTCACATCCCGCTCCGTGTCTTCGCTGTCACATCCCGCTCCGTGTCTTTGCTGTCACACCCCGCTCCGTGTCTTTGCTGTCACACCCCGCTCCGTGTCTTTGCTGTCACACATCCCGCTCCGTGTCTTTGCTGTCACATCCCGCTCCGTGCTCCGTGTTTGCTGTCACATCCCGCTCCCTCGCGTGTCCTGTCACACCCCGCTCCGTGTCTTCGCTGTCACACCCCGCTCCGTGTCTTCGCTGTCACACCCCGCTCCGTGTCTTCGCTGTCACACCCCGCTCCGTGTCTTCGCTGTCACACCCCGCTCCGTGTCTTCGCTGTCACACCCCGCTCCGTGTCTTCGCTGTCACACCCCGCTCCGTGTCTTCGCTGTCACACCCCGCTCCGTGTCTTCGCTGTCACACCCCGCTCCGTGTCTTCGCTGTCACACCCCGCTCCGTGTCTTCGCTGTCACACCCCGCTCCGTGTCTTCGCTGTCGCTGTCACACCCCGCTCCGTGTCTTCGCTGTCACACCCCGCTCCGTGTCTTCGCTGTCACACCCCGCTCCGTCTTCCCTGTCACACCCCGCTCCGTGTCTTCCCTGTCACACCCCGCTCCGTGTCTTCCCTGTCACACCCCGCTCCGTGTCTCCCCTGTCACACCCCGCTCCGTGTCTCCCCTGTCACACCCCGCTCCGTGTCTCCCCTGTCACACCCCGCTCCGTGTCTCCGCTGTCACACCCCGCTCCGTGTCTCCGCTGTCACACCCCGCTCCGTGTCTCCCCTGTCACACCCCGCTCCGTGTCTTCGCTGTCACACCCCGCTCCGTGTCTCCGCTGTCACACCCCGCTCCGTGTCTCCGCTGTCACACCCCGCTCCGTGTCTCCGCTGTCACACCCCGCTCCGTGTCTCCGCTGTCACACCCCGCTCCGTGTCTCCGCTGTCACACCCCGCTCCGTGTCTCCGCTGTCACACCCCGCTCCGTGTCTCCCCTGTCACACCCCGCTCCGTGTCTCCGCTGTCACACCCCGCTCCGTGTCTCCCCTGTCACACCCCGCTCCGTGTCTTCGCTGTCACACCCCGCTCCGTGTCTTCGCTGTCACACCCCGCTCCGTGTCTCCCCTGTCACACCCCGCTCCGTGTCTCCCCTGTCACACCCCGCTCCGTGTCTTCGCTGTCACACCCCGCTCCGTGTCTTCGCTGTCACACCCCGCTCCGTGTCTTCGCTGTCACACCCCGCTCCGTGTCTCCCCTGTCACACCCCGCTCCGTGTCTCCCCTGTAACAATCCCGATACATGTAAATGAATTGGTTTACGTGAAAGTTATCGCGTCTACAAATGGCGGGAGAGAGACGGGAATTTTTAATATATACTAATGGCGGCAATCAGCGACTTATAGCGGGACTGCGGCGGACATTCTGACGGGGGGGGGGGGGGGGACTGACTTGGTGTCACTGACATCCCCAGTGACACCAATAGAATGATCGGTGCTAATAAAAAGCCCCAACACTGTACCAATGGCACTGGGCAGGAGGGGGTTAACATCTGGGGCCATCAAAGGGTTACCTGTGTGCTGGGAGTGTCTTTCACTGTACGCATGCTGCTATGCAGAGCCATACAAAGCAGTGTGCAGGAGCTGACAGGGGAGATCTGTGTTGTTTACTTACAGTTCTCTCCCGTCAGAGATGCTTGGCGATCACCGGGTGCCGGCGACTAATCACCGGCCGGGACCTGGTGATTGACAACCGTGGCGGCGGGTATGGCACGCGCACCCCCTACCCGGAGATGCGAAATCACGCATATATATATAAACACGTGATTTGCGCACCCGTGTGTACAGCCCTGAGATCAGCTGTTTGCTTTTACCTCCCCCTGGTCACCCGCGTGAACAAGCCTTGAATCGCATTTTCAAAAAGAGCAATTCTTCCTCCGGCCATTAGAGGGCACAATACAACGGGGGCAGTCTGTCCTGTCTTTGTAATTTACCCCCCCCCCCCGGCCTCCCTGCCTCCCCCTCCCTCCCAGCAATTGGCTCGGCTTGCATGGTGACCCTTATTGCTTTGAACCAAAATGATCTTCGTGTGCCCCGCAGGTCCTGGCACTGCCCGGCTTGGTGTGGAAACAGCTGACGGGAGAGGAAGTCAGTTGGAGTAAAGATTTCCCAGCGGTGGATTCCTTGTTGGTGAGATCGCCCTCCGAAAATCGTCCCCTTCCAGCTCAGACCACACGGCAACAGTGATCTCCAAACTGGGGCCCTTTGCTGCTTTTATCTGGCCCTCGGGGGACTATTTACATCCACTGACACCTATGATGGGGCCCAATTCCTCCCACTGACACCAACAATGGGGCACTATTCCTCCCACTGACACCAATGATGGGGCACTATTCCTCCCACTGACACCAATGATGGGGCACTATTCCTCCCACTGACACCAATGATGGGGCACTATTCCTCCCACTGACACCAATGATGGGGCACTATTCCTCCCACTGACACCAATGATGGGGCACTATTCCCCCCACTGACACCAATGATGGGGCACTATTCCTCCCACTGACACCAATGATGGGGCACTATTCCTCCCACTGACACCAATGATGGGGCACTATTCCTCCCACTGACACCAATGATGGGGCACTATTCCTCCCACTGACACCAATGATGGGGCACTATTCCCCCCCACTGACACCAATGATGGGGCACTATTCCTCCCACTGACACCAATGATGGGGCACTATTTCCTCCCACTGACACCAATGATGGGGCACTATTCCTCCCACTGACACCAATGATGTGGCACTATTCCTCCCACTGACACCAATGATGGGACACTATTCCTCCCACTGACACCAATGATGGGGCACTATTCCTCCCACTGACACCAATGATGGGGCACAATTCCTCCCACTGACACCAACGATGGAGCACTATTCCTCCCACTGACACCAATGATGGGACACTATTCCTCCCACTGACACCAATGATGGGGCACTATTCCTCCCACTGACACCAATGATGGGGCACTATTCCTCCCACTGACACCAATGATGGGGCACTATTCCTCCCACTGATACCAATGATGGGGCAGTATTCCTCCCACTGACACCAATGATGGGGCACTATTCCTCCCACTGATACCAATGATGGGGCACTATTCCTCCCACTGATACCAATGATGGGGCACTATTCCTCCCACTGACACCAACGATGGAGCACTATTCCTCCCACTGACACCAATGATGGGACGCTATTCCTCCCACTGACACCAATGATGGGACACTATTCCTCCCACTGACACCAATGATGGGACACTATTCCTCCCGCCGACACCAATGATGGGCACTATTCCTCCCACTGACACCAATGATGGAGCACTATTCCTCCTCCCCACTGACACCAATGATGGAGCACTATTCCTCCTCCCCACTGACACCAATGATGGGGCACTATTCCTCCCACCGACACCATTGATGGGGCACTATTCCTCCCACTGACACCACGGGAACCGCCCCTCATTCCCCGCCAATCACACGCGTTCCGCACGGGAACCGCCCCTCATTCCCCGCCAATCACACGCGTTCCGCACGGGAACCGCCCCTCATTCCCCGCCAATCACACGCGTTCCGCACGGGAACCGCCCCTCATTCCCCGCCAATCACACGCGTTCCGCACGGGAACCGCCCCTCATTCCCCGCCAATCACACGCGTTCCGCACGGGAACCGCCCCTCATTCCCCGCCAATCACACGCGTTCCGCACGGGAACCGCCCCTCATTCCCCGCCAATCACACGCGTTCCGCACGGGAACCGCCCCTCATTCCCCGCCAATCACACGCGATCCGCACGGGAACCGCCCCTCATTCCCCGCCAATCACACGCGATCCGCACGGGAACCGCCCCTCATTCCCCGCCAATCACACGCGTTCCGCACGGGAACCGCCCCGCATTCCCCCCCAATCACACGCGATCCGCACGGGAACCGCCCCTCATTCCCCGCAAATCACATGCGTTCCGCACGGGAACCGCCCCTCATTCCCCGCCAATCACATGCGTTTGTGTGCGGTGCGATCGGAGTCGTACATTTTGGCTGTAATCGCACCAAGAACACGCAGGACCCTTCTTTGGGTCGGCACTAGAATCGGGTCACACGGGTACTCACACCTCTGGGATCCGATTCTGCACATCACACTGCGGTTTGCGGACTGATTTCAGGGTGTCGTGAACTGAACCCCCCCCCCCCCCCGCGCAGCAGTTCTCATGAATGGGGGGCGATTCTGGAATTGTCACTGAAAACGCTGTAAATTCCTCACTGCGTCGGTGTGAACCCGGCTGAAGCCGCTAAATTCGTCCTTCCCGCTCGATGGGTGAATCTCATTATGTAGTCACGTGACCCCTCAGTCCTGTGTATGATTTGATTGGTTGTGATTTGGGGCGGTCCCTCACCTGTCCTCCGGGGGGCGCTCTTTTTTTTTGCTCCGTCAGGTCAAACTCCTGGAGATGATGGATCTGATGGACAAAGAGACGTTCGAGTTCAAGTTTGGGGCGGGAGCTGACGTACACGACGGTTCTGAGCGATCAGCGAATGGTGGAGCTTCTCCCCGGGGGCAGTAATATCTCGGTACACTATGAGGACCGGCTGGAGTTCATCGACATGGTGCAGAAGGCGCGGCTGGAGGAGAGCAGAGAGCAGGTAGGCTGTGCTGGGGGGGCTCCAGACCTTTATGGGGGGGCATCCTAGAGATAGGTCTCTGCTGTCCTCTCCGGGCCCCGGGGGGCCCAACTGAGAAACGTCAAATAGTATTCCTCCTGTGAAGCTTCGTGTTCATTCCATGTGAAGGGGGGAACATCGAACTGCAACCAAACCTGCGGCATGTCCCCAGTCTCCAACCAAACCTACGGCATGTCCCCAGTCTCCAGCCAAACCTGCGGCATGTCCCCAGTCTCCAACCAAACCTACAGCATGTCCCCAGTCTCCAGCCAAACCTGCGGCATGTCCCCAGTCTCCAACCAAACCTACAGCATGTCCCCAGTCTCCAGCCAAACCTACGGCATGCCCCCAGTCTCCAGCCAAACCTGCTGCATGTCCCCAGTCTCCAACCAAACCTGCGGCGTGTCCCCAGTCTCCAACCAAACCTACGGCATGTCCCCAGTCTCCAACTAAACCTACAGCTTGTCCCCAGTCTCCAACCAAACCTGCGGCGTGTCCCCAGTCTCCAACCAAACCTACAGCTTGTCCCCAGTCTCCAACCAAACCTACGGCATGTCCCCAGTCTCCAACCAAACCTACAGCTTGTCCCCAGTCTCCAGCCAAACCTGCGGCATGTCCCCAGTCTCCAGCCAAACCTGCGGCATGTCCCCAGTCTCCAGCCAAACCTGCTGCATGTCCCCAGTCTCCAACCAAACCTACAGCATGTCCCCAGTCTCCAACCAAACCTACAGCTTGTCCCCAGTCTCCAACCAAACCTGCTGCATGTGCCCAGTCTCCAACCAAACCTGCTGCATGTGCCCAGTCTCCAACCAAACCTGCTGCATGTGCCCAGTCTCCAACCAAACCTGCGGCGTGTCCCCAGTCTCCAACCAAACCTACAGCGTGTCCCCAGTCTCCAACCAAACCTGCGGCGTGTCCCCAGTCTCCAACCAAACCTGCGGCGTGTCCCCAGTCTCCAACCAAACCTGCGGCGTGTCCCCAGTCTCCAACCAAACCTACAGCATGTCCCCAGTCTCCAACCAAACCTACGGCTTGTCCCCAGTCTCCAACCAAACCTGCGGCATGTCCCCAGTCTCCTACCAAACCTGCGGCATGTCCCCAGTCTCCTCCAACCAAACCTGCGGCATGTCCCCAGTCTCCTCCAACCAAACCTGCGGCATGTCCCCAGTCTCCTCCAACCAAACCTGCGGCATGTCCCCAGTCTCCTCCAACCAAACCTGCGGCATGTCCCCAGTCTCCTCCAACCAAACCTGCGGCATGTCCCCAGTCTCCAACCAAACCTGCGGCATGTCCCCAGTCTCCAACCAAACCTGCGGCATGTCCCCAGTCTCCAACCAAACCTGCGGCGTGTCCCCAGTCTCCAACCAAACCTGCGGCGTGTCCCCAGTCTCCAACCAAACCTGCGGCGTGTCCCCAGTCTCCAACCAAACCTGCGGCGTGTCCCCAGTCTCCAACCAAACCTGCGGTGTGTCCCCAGTCTCCCACCAACCTGCGGCGTGTCCCCAGTCTCCAGTGTTTCTAGTGTCCCCCAACACTCCTCAAGCTTTTCATATACTGAGGTCTTTTGATGATGTCAGGGGCCACAGCTGAGGCCCCTTATGCCTTACCCTATATAATCTGACATCCGCTGGTGTACGGTGTTGTCACCCTCACACAGGAAGTCCCGGGGACAAGTTTTATTATATTTTTATACTCCAGGTTTTGGGATAATCTGCACTGGGATGAAATCTTCTGACATCGGCCCCGTGTCTCGCCTCCCATCCAATCCGCCATCTTTCTTCTCCTCCCTCAGATAGAAGCCATTCAGGCCGGATTGCTGAAGGTGGTTCCTCAGGCTGTGCTGGATCTTCTTACCTGGCAGGAACTGGAGAAAAGAGTCTGTGGGGACCCCGAGATCTCTGTGGAGGCCCTGAAAAAACTGAGTAAGTATGCCGTCCCGCCTCGGGACCCTCACCCCTGTGATGTCACCTCGCCCCTGTGATGTCACCTCGCCCTTGTGATGTCACCTCGCCCTTGTGATGTCACCTCGCCCTTGTGATGTCACCTCGCCCCTGTGATGTCACCTCGCCCCTGTGATGTCACCTCGCCCCGTGATGTCACCTCGCCCCTGTGATGTCACCTCGCCCCTGTGATGTCACCTCGCTCTGTGATGTCACCTCGCCCCGTGATGTCACCTCGCCCCTGTGATGTCACCTCGCCCTTGTGATGTCACCTCGCCCCGTGATGTCACCTCGCCCCTGTGATGTCACCTCGCCCCTGTGATGTCACCTCGCCCCGTGATGTCACCTCGCCCCTGTGATGTCACCTCACCCCTGTGATGTCACCTCGCCCCTGTGATGTCACCTCGCCCTTGTGATGTCACCTCGCCCTTGTGATGTCACCTCGCCCTTGTGATGTCACCTCACCCCTGTGATGTCACCTCGCCCCTGTGATGTCACCTCGCCCCTGTGATGTCACCTCACCCTTGTGATGTCACCTCGCCCCTGTGATGTCACCTCGCCCCTGTGATGTCACCTCGCCCCTGTGATGTC